ACCCATCCATCCATTCATTCATTCTGCAAATATCTATTCTACCAGAGATGGTCAAGGTAGACATGGTTTCTGTTCTGCAAATAGTCCCTTGTGGGCACCAGACAGGGTCAAGGAATCACCAGTCAGCACATAGCGCCAGCACTGTCCTGGTGGGGTGTAGGATTAGGAAACTCTGGAGAGTCCCAGGATGACTGTACCTTAATGTTCCTGCACTGTCCTGGTGCAGTTCAGGGAACGCCCTTCATTCTGGAGCTGCTAAGTAATGAGTCACCCTAGGAACCTGGGGGAGTGGAGCAGGTTGGGGACCAGAGGCCTCTTGCTATTGTCTGGGATCAAGTCCTCCTTTCCCTGGGAACCCCACTTTGAGAGTGCTGTCTTCAGGGGGATGTTTGTGAGGGAGGGCTATCAGATCAACCTTGGAGAGAGGGTTGGGGGAGGGAAGGAAGTTGGACTGCTGTGTTCTCCCAACAGAAACCTCAGCCCACTCCCTTGGAAAAAATGGAAAAATGAAGCAATCCCTAGGAAGTGTAATAAACTGGTGTGGGGAGGGCAGACTTTTATATTCCACTGGGACCAGGCACCCTAAGTGGTCTGCCCCCAGGAAGGGGCATGATCTTGGGCCTGGGGGGAGGGTGGTGGTGCGTCATCATTGGAAGCCTTCTCTGGTTTCTATACCTCTCCCTTTTCTCAGCCTCTCCCCTTTCCACTCACAAACAGAGCCGGGAGAGGAAGGTAATCTAGCCAAGAAAGGTTTAGGAAGAGATACATAAAAACCGAGACCAGAAGAGTGAGTGGAAATTAACTAGGGAGGGAAAGGAGAGAGCAGGAGGGAGTTTCCAGGCTGTGGGAAGGGCATTGCAAGGACACAGCAATAAGAGAGGGAGGGAAAGGGAGGAAGAAGAAGAGGGGGAAATATGGGAGGCCAAGGCAAGGAGGGGGAAGAGACCCTCATTTCAGGATAAATGAAAGAGCTGAGCAGGAGCTCTTTGTCATTTCCTCAGTAGTTTTTTTTTTTTTTTAAAGATTTATTTATTTATGCATACAAGAGCTGGGGTGCAGGCCAGAGATGCAGGGGGTGAGAGGATTCACCAGAGACAGAGTGGGGAGCAGAATAGGCAGATGTACTGAAATACACTGCTGAGGGGAGCAGTGGAGATACAGGAGAGGTCTGCTGTGCCATGTAGGTAGCTCCCTGGCCAGGGATGACTTTGTGCTGCAGTTACTGCAGATAGCTTCAGAGTGCTGCATCTTAACCCCTTGCACCACCAGGGAGGCCCCCATTTCCTCGGTAGTTACTTAAACTCTCCAAACCTCAGTTTTTCTGTAACCCTGGAATGCTAATATCTGCCTCCCAGGTGTATTTAAGATCACAAGAAATGAAACACACACATCGTAAGGGCTTCATAATGTTACCTGCTGTGTCCATTATTACTGACTCTTGCTTGGAAAATAATAATACACTCCCGCGCTAGAAAAGTTGTAGAGCAAGAATTCGGAAGTCTGTAAATTTGTTGTTATAGAACCAGGTTAATATTTTAAGCTCGTGGGTCATGTGGTCCCCATTGCAACTTCTTAACTCAGGGAACATGAAAGCATCCACAGACCGTGCCTGTCTGATAAGACTTGACAGACAAGGTGGTGCTCCCCTTTACCAACCCCCAAAACTAGATTATTAAAACATCAAAACTAGGCTCTGTCATTTGAGAAGACATCCCTGTTGGCGCTTTGCCTATGTACCCTCTCCACTGGCTTGAAATGCTCTCACATTATACATGCCCAATAACACCAGTCACACACATCTTTACTGGCTCATGATATGGGGAAAGCACCAAACAAAAAGTGAGATGCAACAATCAGTTTCCTCTTTGGTCATCCAAAGAGCTCATGAATTCAAAATGGCCATTTATTCCACTTCAGAGATAATCGGTTGTAGTGATCCTGGGTCAAGGAGAAGCTCATTATTGCAGTCATGAAAAATTATACAGAGTCCACTTCTTTCCCAACACCCTACCCCATGCCTGGCATAGAGTTGACACATCATAAAAGTTCCTATATATATGAATTATCTTAACATGGAAATATCAAGATATTGTCCACATAAAAATAATTATATATAATTCGCAATTATATATACTATGACATAAAAATATATGTATTGAAGGGCCTCCCTGGTGGTGTACGGGGTTAAGTCGCAGCATTATGAAGCTATCTGCAGCCACTGCAGTATGAGTTCAATCCCCGGCCAGGGAGCTACCCACATGGTGCAGCAGATCTCTCCTGACTTGCCCGCTGCTCCCCTCAGCAGTGTATTTCAGTACATCTGCCTGTTCTGCTCCCCACTCTGTCTCTGGTGAATTCTCTCACCCCCCATATCTCTGGCCTGCAACCCAGCTCTTGTATGCATAAATAAATAAATGTTTAAAAAAATAAGTGTAGAGCTCTAGGAAGCTTGGTAAAGGTGTATCATGATGCAGTTACAACCAAGCGGTGGAACACTTCCACTCCCTAGGTCAAGTCTGTAGACAGTTCCTTCACTCATCCCCAGCCCTTGGCACCACTTCTCTGCTTTCTATCTCTCTACCTGTCCCCAAGTGACATATAAATGGAATCATACACACATACAAAAGGTGAAACCTTTGAGTTTTTTTTCTTTCATCTTGCACAATGCATTGGAGATACATCTATATTGTTGCAAGCATTGGAGATTGGTTCCTTTTATTACCAAGTGATGTCCTGTGGTGCAGATATATCACAGCTGCTGTACATCCATTCACCAATGGGAAGACAGTGGGTTGTTCCCACTTGGGGCAATTATGAATAAATCTGTTATTATTGCATGCTGGCTTGCATGCAGACATTCTTTTAATTCTCTCAGGTAAACAGCCAGGAGTGGGATTACTTGTTTTGATGGTGGGTGTGTGTTCAGCTTAATAAATGGTTGCCAAACTGATTTCCAAAGTGGCTGCACCACTTTATTTCTCTACCAGCAGTCTATGTGAACTTGCCAGCATTAGGTACCACCGCCAGTTGTTTTTATTTTGGCATTCTGATAGATGTAGATAGGTTTTACAATGGACATCCTGACGCATATATCCTTAGTAAGTATGTGTATGTCTGTGAGAGACATTCTGAGCCTAGAATGGATGGGGCAAAGGGTTCCAAAGGGTGATTAGATATTACCAAATAGCCATCTGAGAAGGCAGTGCCAAGTGACCTACCTACCAGCCGGGGATAGCAGTGCCTATTTCCTCACATGCTCATCAGCACAGTGTGTTACCCAACTTCAGTGCATGTTGTTAAGTGAAACTTTAGATGATTGCTGTGTGAGTCTTTACCTCACAGGCTTGTTGGCAAGGGCTTAAAGTGAAACTTTTATAGCACTGTCTGCCACACATGGAGTGGCAATGAATATTAGTTATTGTGTGATTACCACCTAATCAATCAATCACATTTATTGGTGTCTCTCTCAGTAGTTTTCATTAGTGTGTTCAGAGTGCTTTTCTCTGAAGAGCTCAAACAGCCCACTTATGGAATTTAGTTCATCTTTCAAGTCCCTTCAGACGCAGGCCAGGAAGTCAGACACTGTGGGTTTCACACAACAGGGAAATGTGACAGGATGGGACCTCTTTAAGGTTACAGGATAGATTTGTGTCCCACAAAGTCAAAACTTACCTCATTTGGAGGGAATGTTTCTTCTAGATTACAGGTCCTCTAGACTATCTTTTTTTGGGACTTGCCACCTACTTTAAGCAGCACACCAGAAACCAGGACACACATTTTACCAGAAACAAAATTTCAAAAAAAAAAAAACTTCAATGTAGCCTTCCTGGTGGCACAGAGGTTAAAGACAGAGCTATCAAGCTATGCCAGCCACTGCAGCACAAGTTCCATCCCCAGCCCACCAGGGAGCAACCCACATGGAGCAGCAGACCTCTCCCCTCAGCAGTGCATTTCAATAGATCTGCCTGTTCTAGTCCCCACTCTTTCTGGTGGATCCTCTCACCACCATGTACCCCTACCCTTCCCCCCCACCTCTGGCTTACACCCCAGTTTTTGTATGGATAAATAAATCTTTAGAAAAAAAACTTCAATGTTTCCTATCCATCCCATTCCATCAAAAACATGCTCATTGGGATTCACCAAAAATACAGATTTCAAAACCTACTGCTGTGTCCAGACCTGCGGCTATAGGGCATAATATTAAGTTGTAAGTTACAAATGTTGGTCTCCCAGACAACACAACTGGAATCACAGAACCTCGTGCTCAATTGTGGGCATTTATGCTCATGTTCCTTTTTCTCTATTTCCTTGGGATGCACACGGATCTTTTGGACTCCTTATGTGTATTCAAATCTCACCTCCACCATTTGCTGGTGATCTTGGTTAGTCTCTTCAACCAACAAAGAATTTTCTCCTCCTCTGTAAAAAGGGAGTGAGACACCAACGAGCTAAAGTGGGTGAAGCATTGAGCATAGCGTCAGGCTCATAGTAAATACTTAATACATTGATGCTCAAAGCAGGGGCCCAGCAGCAGCAGCACTTGGGGACTTATTAGAGCTGCAAATTCTTGGACCTTGGCCCAAATTTTCTGAATCCGAAACTGCAGGGGAGGAGCCCAGCGATCGGTTTTAACAAGTCTTTCTGGCGATTCTGACGCACACTCAAATTTGAGAGCCACAGGCTTAATACACGGTGACTATTAACAATAAGTACTTCAACCCGCAGGGATGAGCGACAGGCAGATCACGAAAGGTTTAGTAGATGCGCGTTAACAAACAAGAAGTGTCAGCACCACCCACAGGTGAGAGCACTCACCTGCTCAGTCCCCGCCCACTTCCCCCTTTCTCAGCAAGGCCCGCCTAGTCAGCTCTCTGATTGGTGAATTTTCTCTGGCTACTTACCACCCAGCCAATAGCGAAGAGCGTAAACTGGGAGGGGCGGGACTGAGCGTGGCAAGAAGCGAGCGCTTATTGGCTGCAGATCACGCCGCGGAACTGCGCGTGCGCACGGCCGAGGCGCGCCCCTGACGGCCGTTGAAAAATGGCGACTGTCACCGAGCTGAAGGCTGGTGAGTGCGAGCGGGAGGCTGCCGGGGGAGCTGCCTGTGAGAAGGATGGGACGAAAGAGGGCACGCGCGTCACCCTAGAGTCAGCTTTTCCCGGGGTCGCTCTGCGGTATCAGGGTCTGCGGAGCGTCCGGCTGGGCTGGCGGCCTCTGCCCGGGGCCTTGTGAGAGAGGTGGTGACCCCGGGTAATTCTTTTTTTTTTTTTTTTAAGTTTTATTTATACAAGAACTGGGGTACAGGGCAGAGCAGACAGACTGTAGACACTGCTGAGGGGAGCAGCGGGCGAGCGAGGAGAGGTCTGCCGCGCCATGTGGGTATCTCCCTGGCCGGTACTCGAACCCGCGCTGCAGAGGCCGTGGACAGCTGCACTCAACCCGCTGTGCCACCGGGGAGGCTCTGGCTGTAATTCTTAATCTGGCCTTGAGCTGGAGAGGACTCGCAGGCTCTGCAGGTGCCAGAAGGGTGGACAGGACTGCACCTTGGGCCTCGGGGGTCAGGTGCAATCCTAGCTGTCTCACTGAATCCTTAAGACAGCCTGCGAGGTAGGTCTTGATTTTCCAACGGGGAAGACGAGGCAGAATGTTGCCTGGCTCCTCGCCTATCTTTTTTTTGGGAAAGTTCTTCCAAGGTGTGAGTAAGTGATAACATTTGCAGCCGTTAGCTGACGCAGCTGCCCAGAAAAGCAATACTAGTTTTCCTTATCGGTGATTGAGCCTTAGGTGTCAGGCACCACCCAGCCCCCTGTTATCTCATTGACTCCCTTTAAGAGCCCTATGAACACTTCATTGGTTAGGAAATTGAGGTGCTAAGAGGTGAAATTGTTCACCCACAGTGACTCAGAAAGAGGCACAGAGTTTGAGATACTGCATTAGAGCCCCAGGTCTTAACCTCTGAGTGATACTGCTGCCGGGTTAATAAAATCGGTTCCATTTTCAGGTCAAAATCAGTAATTCTTAGAGAATTGGCATTTCTTTAAGAATGTGGTTCAATAACCACTGATATCAATGTACATTTGGGGCACTGGACTTGTGAGCTGCCATAAAAAAAAAAAGGCAGACTTTTATCCAAAAATCTGAACATATCAGGAAATGCATAGACCCCAGGAAATAGGTGTCACATGCAATATTATATACAATGCCAGAGGATTTAAAGGTGCTTTTCAGATATGTGCCAGGTTAAGAACCTCTTTCTGGAATTGTTGCAGGACAGTGTAACCTGTTCCTCTGTTTTAAAACAGTAGAGAGTAGGGCAAAAAGAAATGGAACCTCAGAAGAAGGCATAACTTTCTGGGGGTAAGGGTGTCCTTCACTGATAAAAGAGAATATATGTCTTTTTTTTTTTTTTTAAGATTTATGCATACAAGAACTGGGGTACAGGCCAGAGGTGTGTGTGTGGGGGGCAGGTGAGAGGATTCACCAGAGATACAGTGGGCAACAGAGCAGGCGGATCTACTGAAATACATTGCTGAGGAGAGTAGTGGGCAAGTCAGGAGAGGTCTGCTGCGCCATGTGGGTAGCTCCCTGGCCGGGGATTGAACTTGTGCTGCAGAGGCTACGGATAGCTTCATAGTGCTGTTCTTAACCCCTGGCGCCACCAGGAAGGCCCGAGAATATATTTCTTTCTGCAGGTCTGAAAGTGTTAAGTGTCCAACAGAAACCCTGAAAATGTGCTCGCAAATCATTTGTCTTATGCTTTATAGATTTTCACCTTAAAGCACATTTTCCCACTTCACTTTTGCCTCCAACAGGTTAGAACTCATGTTGAAGAAAGCAGCTAAGGTGCGAGTTGGTAATGTGACATACTAGGTTTCCTAACTCCACTTCATAAGTTCCTCTTGCCCTACTGAGTGAGCCTGTGCTGTAGGCACATAGACTAACTGGGACAGGATCCTTGCCAGTGGAGAAAAATTCATCTGCCTTCCAAAGTTGGAATTAGAAAACAGGGATTTGGTTATGATAAGTCTTCCCCTTTTATGAAAGTCCTCTTACAAATCCTGATTGGGTGATCATTATGCTTGTGTACCAGCAAACATGATTGAGGGAAGATATTAAAATAAGGAACGCGAAAGGTTCAAGTATAGTCTAGATTGTCGTCTCAATCATATGACCCAGATTTTTTTCGTTGTTGTTTATCAACGGTTAAGAAAAAATTTATGTTCATGTCTGTATGGATAAACTCCCTGGACTTCCTTTATGTATTTATATTTATATTAGCAGCATATGGCACTATATCACTAGGTGACATTTTCGAGCTTTTGCTATGTTCTAGGTACTGTGAGTGATGATGTGTTAATTGTTCCATTAGGGAGACTTTGGTGAAAGATTTCAGATCACTGTAGGAGGAATGATACTAATTCAGCCCTATACCTGTCACTATCCATGCTGGTATTAGTAGCTAAATCTCATTATTACATTACTGATTGTTGTAATAATGACCCTTGCTTATTAAGAAGTTAGATTAAAGAGCTTCTGCACAGCAAAAGAGACAATAACAAAAACAAAGAGAAACCCCACCGACTGGGAGAACATTTTCGCACATAACACTAATGATAAAGGACTGATCACAAAAATCAACAAAGAGCTGATGAGACTCAACAAAAACAAAGAAAATAATCGAGTCAAAAAATGGGCAGAAGAGCTAAAAAGAAACTTCTCTGAAGAGGAAAAGCAAATGGCCAACAGGCATATGAAAAAATGTTCAACGTCACTTGTAATCAGGGAAATGCAAATCAAAACTACCATGAGATACCATCTCACACCAGTGAGAATGGCACATATTAAAAAAAGTAGCAACAACAAATGTTGGCGAGGGTGTGGAGAAAAAGGAACTCTCCTGCACTGTTGGTGGGAGTGCAAACTGGTCCAACCACTATGGAGAGCTGTGTGGAGATTTCTGGACCTACTAAACATAGAGCTTTCATAGGATCCAGCAATTCCACTCCTAGGTATTTACCCATAGGACACAGAAACATCAATTCCAAAGAGCACCTGCACCCCTATGTTTATAGCAGCACTGTTTACAATAGCTAAGCTTTGGAAACAACCCAAATGCCCAAAAATAGATGACTGGATCAAGAAGATGTGGTACATATACATCATGGAATATTACTCAGCATTCAAAGAAGATAAACACATGCAATTTGCAGCAACATGGATGGAGCTGGAAGGGATCCTGCTCAGCGAAATAAGCCAGAAAGAAAAAGAAAAATACCGGATGGTCTCACTCATAGCAGGAATCTAGAAAACTTAAATAAGGGACCAGGAAAAAGAATAACTATAAGAAAGAAAATATCAAAGTCAACAAACAACTATGAACCAGAGTCACTCTATGGGGGTTGGGCGTGGGGAAAGGAGGGATGGGGGCAAAATAAGGGGGTTGCAATTGTATGGGGGAATATAAAAATAAAATTAAATTTAAAAAAAGTTAGATTATATTCAGTATATACATCCCCAGTTCCTTAAGATGGCAGTGATATAGTCACATACTAGATTTCTGACTATGCTTAAGATTTCAAAATCCTACTGCTTTCAAAGGATATCTCATAATTATCTTTATTTTATTTTATTTTATTTTAAAAAACGTTTATTTTTTTCAAAGAAAAAACGGCAATAGCCAATTGGAAACCTACTTATTCTTCAACTCCAATTTTGTTTTCTTTAAATTTAGAAGTGACTTACTGATTTACTATTTTAAACAAACCCCCCCTTTCCCCTTTAAATGTTTACCATCTACTTGTGCTGAATCCTTCCAAGGAGATTGCTCCAGCGTATATCTCCAGGTCCTCGTTTTCCTCCTTTTACCAAAAAATGCAAAACACAATTCCATCGTGCATCTTAAGGGCTCCAATCGTCAAAAATAGGTAAAAAAAAAAGATCTTTGGAATAGCCAATTAAGTTGAATAAAAAAAAAAAAAAATCCACACGAATGCGGTTTGGTTGGGGCAGGAATCGACTCCTAAGTTCCTGGTAATCTGATCCCGCTCCATGAATCCTTGTAATTCCTCCTCCCTATCCTATCCACATCTCATAATTATCTTTAAAAAGCAAGCAAACCCCCAAAACAAAACACTCCCTTTTTAAAAGATCAAAGATTTTTATACAGAACTCAATACAGTCCTTTTATGGCGTGCTTGTTATCTTTAGTCCTCTTCTTCCTAGACCTGGCGTTTTTTAGTGACAAATAGAACCTGTTTGCAGTGACAAACATTTGAAAACACGACACATTTGAAAATGTATGAGGCAGTATCCACGCTGGTCCCAGTAATCCAAGTACATTTCTGTCCCTTTTTTCCCCTTACTAAAAAATGTGTAACAGACTGTGATACACATGATGATGTGTATGAAAATGATGATGTTGGAAGGATAAATTTGAATCTGCTTAAATGTGTTAAAATTGTAAATCTTTGCAACTTGGGAACTTTATTTTTTATGACTCATGATCGTTAATTTCATTTGCTATGTTTACATTGAAAACTGCAGTTTGTCATTTATCTTTTAAACATTTTTCCTCAAAGTGTGCCTAAAGAATGACAAAGTTTATAATTGAAGCATCTATGTTTTCTATTTAACAGTTTTAAAGGACACCTTGGAAAAAAGGGGAGTTTTAGGGCATTTAAAAGCAAGGATTCGAGCTGAAGTTTTCAATGCCCTAGATGATGAAAGAGAACCCCGACCGTCATTGTCTCATGAAAACCTTCTAATTAATGAATTAATTCGGGAATACTTGGAATTCAACAAATACAAATATACAGCATCTGTTCTCATAGCAGGTAAGAAGTCATTGTTATCACCTGATGCAAAATCTGCTTTTTCCTTTCAGAGTGTTTGGCCTGGAAATCCAATTCCATTACCAGTGACATCTGAGGGGCTGAGGCATAAAAATCACAGGGACTCTTTCCATAGCTTGAACAAAGTTCTCCTGAGCCTTGTTGTATTGTAGGGAAAAACGAGTTTATGTAAAGGAGCACTTAGGCTAGGTGCATAATCTGAAAAATCACCCATAATTCTGGATACTCAGAATAAGCAATTGTTTACATATTATCCTGTTTGTTGCCAGTAGGTTTTTTTAAAAGTATATCTTTAAAAATATGCATATACAGAATTAATGTATATACTTTTTTTATTAAAAATGTATAAGACATTGTGGATAAAACCTCAAAATACCACTACTATGTATTGGATAGGGATAGAGCTACAAATGTTAGTAAAAATATAGTATTTAATATGGACTAGGAAAGTAAACTCCAAACAAACTCTAGTGAGGGGAGGAAGAGAGATGGTATTAGGGAATGGGGGTAGACAGTTAATGAGAAATTTACTCTATGTTAAATTTTAATTTTTAAGAAAGAAAATAAAAGGCTGGTAATAGACACACAGTAGCTGAGCTGAGTGTTACTTTTGGACAGGGGTGGTGGGAGTGAGACTGGGTGGGTGGACAGACATTCATCACCTGTATATCATCTGACTCCCTGTGTAAGGTGCAGTCTGTACTGTAAGACTACTTCATGCCTTGGAGTGTAAGCACAAGAGATCATGAAATAGAAAAGAGAATGAATTCTTTATTTGTGATGAAAGAACTTTTCATTAAAGATCTTTTCTTGACTATTAAGCATATATCTTTACTAATAAACTGATGATTTTTATTGGTTTAGGGATCTTTAATATCAGTGTCTCTACTTTGCTCAGTTATAATGGCTATCTAATACCATTAGTTCTCAGAAAAGAAGACTTGGGCTTCCCTTGACAGTAGTGACAGTAGTTAAGTTTCATATTAGTGTCTTGATTTAAAAGAAACAGGTATAATTAACATTCAGTGTACTCCACCTTTTCTAATACACAGTTCTGTGGATTTTGCCAAATGTATACAATTGTGTAACTACCACCACAGTCATAGCAGGGATGTGGGATATTCCCAACACATTGGAAATAGTGTTCCTTTGTAGTCAAAGGGACAAACTACTTAGACTTTGTAGTCAAAGAGACTACTTTGCCCACTCCCTACCTCTAACAACACTGGCCTGTTGTTTTCTGTATCCATCATTTGCCTTTTCCTGAATGTCCTGTACATGGAACCACACAGAATGTAGCTTTTTGAGTTCTGCTTCCTTTCACTTAACCTAATGCATTTGAGCTTTCAACCATATTGGTTTCCCCCTCCTAAATAGCATCCATTGTCAATTTATCTATTATCAGTTGATGGCCGTTTGTTTCTAGTTTTTGGCCGTTATATATCAAGCCGCCATGAACGTTCATGTACAAGATTTTGTGTGAACATAATTTTTCATTTCTCTTGGGTAAAGAGCTCAGAGCGGGATTGCTGGGTTTCGTGTGGGAAGTGTATGCTTGGCTCTGTGGGCGGCTGTTTTCCAAAGCGGCTGTACTATTATACCTCCCACCAGCCAGGTGGGTTCCAGTTGCCGGGTGTACTTGCCAGCACTTCATTTCAGGGTTCATTTTACTTTTAGAATTATTGTTGTTGAATGAATATGAGTACCCTATGTTTAATTCATAGACTTCTTAATATACAGACTTCTGAAGTCTGGTATTCTAGATTATATGCAGAAAATTATTTTTCCATCCAAAAATGGAAGGATTTTAAAAATGAACTAGTGTTAAACTGTGTTAAGTTGTATATTTAACAAAATATGTATTTTTTTTTTTTAAACCAAGCACGTAGGTGTGAATTGGATTGGCATTTCTTTCTTTTTTTTTTTTTTTTTAAGTCAAGCTAGTGATTGGTTTTCTTTTTTTTTTTTCCCCCTAAATATTTATTTATTTATTTAATATAAGCACTGGGTACAGTTAGAAGTGCAGGAGGGTGAGAGAATTCACCAGAGCCAGAGCGGGGAGCAGAGCAGGCAGAAGGACCGAAGTACACTGCTGAGGGGAGCAGCGGGCGGCAGGAGAGGTCTGCGCGCCATATGGGGTCCTCCTCCGGTGGCCGGGGAGCAGCCGGGGATCGAACTGGTGCCGCAGAGGCTGCGGGCAGCTTCGCAACCCAGTGCTCAACCGCTGCGCCACCGGGGAGGCCCTGGATTGGCATTTCTTTAATGGCTGATGAGGTCCCACATCTGTTCACAAGTTTATTTATAATGTTGGGTTTTTTGGTTTTTTTTTTTTTTTTTTAAGATTTATTTATTTATTTATATAAGCACTGGGTACAGTCAGAAGCGCGGGAGGGTGAGAGAATTCACCAGAGCCAGAGGGGAGAACAGAGCAGGCAGACTGACGAAGGACGCTGCTGAGGGGAGCAGCGGGTGGCAAGAGAGGTCTGCACGCCAAGTGGGACCCTCGCCTGGCGTCCGGGGATTGAACCGGCGCTGCAGAGGCTGCGGGCAGCTTCGCAACCCAGCGCTCAACCGCTGCGCCACCGGGGAGGCCCAAAATACGTGTTTGAAAGTCTTAAAATCAGGGCCTCCCCGGTGGCGCAGCGGTTGAGCGCTGGGTTGCAAAGCTGCCAGCGACCTCTGCGGCGCCGGTTCGATCCCCGGCTGCTCCCCGGCCACCGGAGGAGGGTCCCACATGGCGCGCAGACCTCTCCTGCCGCCCGCTGCTCCCCTCAGCGGTGTACTTCGGTCCTTCTGCCTGCTCTGCTCCCTGCTCTGGCTCTGGTGAATTCTCTCACCCTCCCGCGCTTCTGACTGTACCCAGTGCATGTATAAACAAAACGAACGAACAAACAAACAAATAAATAAATAAAAACATGCCTCTATAAAAAAAAAAAAAATACTCATTTTAAAAAAAAAAAAAAGAAAGTCTTAAAATCACGTACACATTTGAATCTGTTGTGGTAAGTGCCATCATTCTTCCAGAATCTAAAAAAATGTGTATATCTAGTTAAGTGTGTTTGTTGTCAAAGGCGTATTTGCTTTGGAGATTAATGAAGACTCAACTGTTTTCATGACTTTCCCCTCAGAATCTGGCCAACCTCTAGTTCCATTAGACAGACAGTTTCTCATCCGTGAACTAAATGCATTTGAAGAATCAAAGGATAATACAATGTAAGAAGTTTTTTTTTTTTTTAATATAAATTGTCAGAACTTTATCAAGTTCTTGTATTGGAGACATGTTCGCATAATGGTGACTTTATTTCACTGTAATGCAGCAGGAATGTGTGTGTCTGTACCATATCCAAGGGTGCAGCAGTGAACAGGTCAGAGGACACCTCTGTTCCTGGAACCAAATTCTTGTGGTGTCAGAGGACTGAGCACCCCTACTTCTTTCTAAGGGTCATTCCTCATGGCTTTTAAGCCAGTCTTTTTTTTTCTTCTGAGGTGTTACTCTATCAATTCTTCATATTTAACTTCCTCACCACCGCTTCTGTCACTTCAAGTGAGGAATGTGCTCAGAGGTCCCTTCTCTTAAAAAAAAAAAAAAAAACAAAACCCTGTCAACTTCCAAGACTGAAGTTAGCGAAATCAACCTTCTGTTTTCATTCTGTATTTTGTGTTCCCTAAATCTTAAATTATCCCTTCACCACTTATACTGACTGTGTAAAGAAGGGAAACAACTTTTTAGTCGTTTTTTAGTTCTTTTCTGACTTCATTGTTTCTTAAACTTTTTCCAGCTCAAAGCAGCCTTTTCCTAATAAGAAATTTCTTTGAAGTCTTATGAGTATTCTTTTTAAAAATTCACTAATTTTTTTTTATTCCTTTCATGGTATAATTCTCTGTTTTGCCATGAAGGTATTTTAAATGATATGCTCATTAAATTTAACTCTCCCACAAATCTTTGTGTAAAATCAGTGTTCCAGGATCAGATGCCACCTCTATCCTGTACTTTGTCCCAAGCCTCTAGCACCAAGAATAGGGGTGTGTGTGTGTGAGATTTGTATGTATAGTATGTATCGCAATATATGTTTATGTCCAATTTGAGAAGCTCAGCTTTGCTTGCATTTCTGCAGCATTTTGTAATATTGATTACTCTTCCTAAAACATGTTGCTTACTGACACAACCTTTTGCAGAAGGCCACAAGTCCTTGCCATCTGTATCTTTCCATCGGATAGCTAGAGTGTCACATGACACTCCACTAGGAGACAATGCCACAGCGCCATTTATGACCTAGTCTCTGTAGTTACACACTGCTGTCACTTTCTTGGTTCATTAGAAGTGAGTTCAGCCCACACTCAAGGGAGGGGAAGTTAGCTGCACCTTTCAAAAGAGAAAGGAATGTCATACTTTAAAGCATCACAGCTATTTTTTTAAAAATTTTTTTTATTTTAACATGTATCATTTTTTAAATATTTTTAGACAATATTTGCTTCCCCCACCCCCTCAGATGGAGTCCCCATAGAATTTCCTTCCCCAGGGTACCCGTGCACCATCACCAGAGTCCCCTGTGCTGCTCCCTCCCTCCCTCTGATCCCTCTCCCTCCTCCTCCCCTGCATTATGTCTCTGATTTATAATTGTCTGTTTTTGCTTTGTTGTGTTTTGTACTGTTATTACTATTTTTTTTATAAGCATCACACCTATTAAATAGGTAGAAATCTCAGTAAAACCCATTAAACTGTATTTTCAGTGATGAGATTGGAAAGAAAGGAAAACATTTCTCTTGTAGCTCCCTTAATTGTGGAGCAGCTTGCATCTGTGCAGGGGCACGAATGTAAAGCTCTAGGCAGCATATTGTAAGGAAAAGAATATAGGACTTGGGGTTCATAAAGTTTGCTTACTTACCAAGGGATCTCTAGCAAATCGTCTCTCAGCTGTGATGCTGTCATTTATAAATTGGAGATAATCACAGGTGAGGATAAAATCATAAGGGTCGGGTTAGTAAACTGTAAAGTAGCTTTTAAGATAGTAGTTCCTACCCAGCTTCTAAATAGTTAACATTTGTAGCCATTTAGTATGTGCCAGGCACGATTCTTCATACTTAGCATGACTAGCTTGTTTAGTCCACAGCAACCCTATGAGGTGGGGACCAACCCTATAGCAGAAGGGATACTTATGACTCTTACATCTTAAGACATTAAGAATCTTGCTGAGGTCAAGTGCAAAGCCAGCATTTTGACACAGGCAGTTTAATTCTTGGGACATAAGACCTTCTTCAGACAAGGTTTTATTAATCCAGTAAGTGTTTATTGAATACCTATTTGTATCAGACAGACATTGTTGGAAAATCTTTGTTAGACTTTAGAGGTTAAAAGTTGAGTTCCTATACATTGATTGTATTTTAATTTAGATGAGGTTTGTTAAAATATTTTCTCTGGATTTTGAAATTATCATTAGGGTTAAAGGTACTTTCAAATTTTAAAAAGCATGAATATTTTGCAATTTGGATAATAACCATACTACCTTTTTCTTTTAAGTCAAATGAGTTACTTGACCATCCTAGTGTAGAGACTACCTTTTATTATTACTATTTTTAAAGATTTATTTTTATTTGTTTATGCATACAAGAACTGGGGTACAGTCCAGCGGTGCAGGAGGTGGGAGGATTCACCAGAGGCAGGGTGGGGAGCAGAACAGGCAGATCTACTGAAATACACTGCTGAGGGGAGCAGTGGGCAAGACAGGAGAGGTTTGTAGCTCCATGTGGGTCAGCTCCCTGGCTAGGGATGGAACGCATGCTGCCATGGCTGGCAGATAGCTTGATAGTGCTGGGACTTTAACCCCTTCACCACCAGGGAGGCCCCTGTAGAGATTCCCTTTTAAGGAACAGGTGTTTTAAGCTTTTCCTGTTTATACAAATTTAATTTTGTTTTCTTCCTGCTACAGACCTCTTTTATATGGGATTTTAGCTCATTTCTTGCATGGCACTAAGGATGACTTCCCAGCTGCATCTCTGACAAGGTCTTCTCTTCAGCTGCCAAACCCAAACCTTGCCAGACACCTACACCCAAGTGGGAGAAAGCAAACAGGTGGGAGTTTTCTGAGAGGTGTCACTTAGCTATCAGCAAGTATGTTATGTTTTCTTCCTATGTATATGTTTCTGTTTGGAGTAGTTTTTTTTTTTTTTTTTTTAAGGATTTATTTATTGATTGATTGATTGATACATACATACAAGCACTGGATACAGTCAGAAGCACGGGAGGGTGAGAGAATTTACCAGAGCCAGAGCGGGGAGCAGAGCAGGCAGAAGGACCGAAGTACACTGTTGAGGGGAGCAGCGGGCGGCAGGAGAGGTCTGCACACCATGTGGGATCCTCCTTCAATGGCCGGGGAGCAGCCAGGGATCGAACCGGTGCTGCAGAGGCTGTGGGCAGCTTCGCAACCCAGCGCTCAACCGCTGCGCCACCAGGGAGGCCCTCTGTTTGGAGTAGTTTTTCCTGAGCTTTTGATTCATATTTCAGTTGTACTTATAGCTAATATAGTTATCCTAGGTTACTTATTCTTCAAAAGACAGAATCTGTTTTTGCAAATAGACAACATTCTTAGATATAATTTCTGTTTGGAAGTATTAAAAATCGATTTTTATATCGATTTGTATAGCTTAGATCCTTAGTATACTGAATAAATTTTATTTTTATTTATTTATTTTGGCAATTGTTCTATTTAATCTTTTATTATTATTTTTTTAAGATTTATTTATTTTTATACAAGAACCAGGGTACAGGCCAGAGGCATGGGAGGGTGAGAGGAACTCACCAGAGACAGAACAGAGAGCAGAACAGGCAGACAGACCGAAATACACTGCTTGAGGGGAGCAGTGGGCGAGACAGGAGAGGTCTGCCATACCATGTGGGTTTCTCCCTGGCGGGGGATCGAACTTGTGCTGCAGAAGCTGCGGATTGCTTCATAGTGCGGTGCTTAACCGCTTAACCACTTGCGCCACCAGGGAGGCCCAAAATAAAACATTTATTTAGATAAAAGTCACTGTGGCTTCCTCTGGCAACTTCTGTGCAATTCTGTATCATTTACTCATCCAAGAAGAGTTTATTGAGGGCCTGTTGTAGCAGACACTAATCTAAGCTCCCAGTGGAGAGCAGTGATAGGAGACAGCCTCAGCCTTCAAGGAGCTTGCATTCTGAGTTTGGAGGGAGAGTGACAGACGAAAAAAGAGGGGTCCTTTGTGTGTAAAGTGCAAGAGATCAGAGAATCAAGTTCAAGTCTGAAATGTTGGGTGCCTATTCTTTGGAAAGTTCTGTGGGAGGCTCAAAAGTGAGGATGCCTGCTGAACTCACAGAAGAATGACTGATTTTGCAAATCATTTTCCTGATCATCAAAAGTTGTCTTGCACCACAGTGAGCTCTGCATGCAATGACTTGTGAGGCGCTTTCAGGCAGAACTTTTCATTCTATTGTGGTGACACATTTCACTTTCATGTGGTGGGCTTGCCGTCAGAAGGGTATTGAGTTTTATTGGCGACACTGAAAAGGTTAGAAGGTATTAAAATAATTAGTCTTCCAGTTACAGTACCTTTCTCTACACCAGCTCATCCAACTGAAATATAAAACACTAAAATTGTTTCATTTGAAAATAAGTCAAAAGCATGCCAGTATGAAAGCTCCTTTTTTTTTTTTTTGAAAGCTCTTTTTTCCCCCCTTTTAAACAAAGCTTTTCAGAGCACTGAAAAAAAATGAAGAGGGTTCATATGAAATGATAGGATGATAGCCAGCTCACTGGTTTCGCTCCGCTAGTTCTTAAAATACTGGAGGCAAAGTGGCTTTTGCTACAAATAAAAGACCAGATATTTTATGATAGAGAAGATGTAAGTTCTACTTTATGCATGTATGTGAAGTATATGGGTAACATATTTTTTAATAACGCATTTTCTAGAAAACCTTAAATTGGCTATGTCCTAAGAGTATTGTTAATTTTATTCTGGCAAGCAAAGTTGTCTAAAATTGAGGGAGATAGAATGTCATCTGTGATCCAGACCTATAGTAGTATTAACATTTCAAATATTTATGAAGGTGATCAGCTATTTTGTTTTTTTTTGTTATTTTTCAATTTATTTATGCATATAAGACCTGGGGTATAGGCCAAAGGTATGGGGTGGTGGAAGGATTCACCAGAGACAGAGTGGGGAGCAGAACAGGTGGATTGACTGAAATACACTGCTGAGGGGAGCAGCGGGGGAGACAGGCGAGGTCTGCAGCGCCATGCGGGTCAGTTCCTTGGCTGGGGATCCGACTCTTGCTGCAGTAGCTGCGGATAGCTTCACATTGCTGCGACTTAACCCTGTGCCACCATGGAGGCCCAGATCAGCTATTTTGAATTAATAATAAAACTGGGTGTGCAATCAAATTGTCTTCAGAATTAAAATGTGTATTTGGTGTTAAACCACATATTTGTCTGCTTTGCATCTTTGTCTAAATTGTGTACTTGTCTACATTTGTAATTTTTTCCCTCTTGCTATCAAGTTGTCATAAAAATGATATTTTTTCAGTTGTGAAAACTGTTTGAGAGAATTGGGGGTTCATTTTTTTTTAAAAGATTTATTTATTTATGCATACAAGAACTGGGGTACAGGCCAGAAGTGTAGGAGGTGAGAGGATTCACCAGAGACAGAGAGGGGAACAGAACAGGCAGATTGACTGAAATACACTGCTGAAGGGAGCAGCGGGCCAGACAGGGAGAGGTCTGCTGTGCCATGTGGGTAGCTCCCTGGCCAGGGATCAAACTTGTGCTACAGAGGCTGTGGATAGCTTCATAGGTTGCATCTTAACCCCTTGCGCCACCAGGGAGGCCCCTGGGGTTCATATTTTATTAGGAATTTCGTTTGCGTGTTTCCTTGCTGTTAACACTTGGATATTAAGCTTCTTCAGTTTTTTTTAAATCTAGAACACTTTTGCCTTCTGCCCTTTGTCCCCTGTAGCAAAAGAAATTGAACAGAAGTGACTGGTCCCCTTCTTTGCTATTGCCTGAGCACAGTGGGTGGCCCCAGGGCCTCTGGTCTCCTCTAAGCTCTCCTGAAGGTTTGTTTTGTTTTGTTTTTAGCTGAAGGACACTGTCTTTAGTTTCCTGGATAGTTTTCTAATTTTCCTTAGAAGATGTAAATTGTGCTAATTTTCTTTTTGCCACAAGAGGGTACTACTGGGAGGCATTTCTATTTGAGGAAAGGGGTTTTTCCCCCTCATTTTAAGGTGAAAGATTTTGGCAAATCCCTCAAAGTGCTATTGAATATTCTTTTTTTTTTTTTGATAGGGACTACTTTATTTTTTTTTATTTTATATATATTTATACATATTTTTACATCATTTTTCATTTTTGCACAATGTATGCATTTTCATCTTGGTTATATTCCCCATATAATTCCGACCCCCCCTTATTTTGACCCTAATCCCTCCTCCCATCTCCCCCACACCCCATAGTGTGTTTCTGGTTTATAGTTGCCATTTATTTTAATTTTTTTTTAAGATTTATTTATTTATTTATTTATTTATTTATTTATTTGTTTGTTTGTTTGTTTATACAAGCATTGGGCACAGTCAGAAGCGCGGGAGGGTGAGAGAATTCACCAGAGCCAGAGCGGGGAGCAGAGCAGGCAGAAGGACCGAAGTACACTGCTGAGGGGAGCAGTGGGCGGCAGAAGAGGTCTGCGCGCCGTGTGGGGTCCTCCTTCGATGGCCAGGGAGCAGCTGGGGATCGAACCCGCGCTGCAGAGGCTGCGGGCAGCTTCACAACCCAGCGCTCAACCGCTGCGCCACCGGGGAGGCCCTATAGTTGCTTGTTGATTTTTATTTTTACTTCATTATAATTAGTCTTTTTCCTGGTCTCTTATTTAGGTTTTCTAAATTCCTGCTATGAGTGAGACCATCCAATATTTTTCTTTTTCTTTTGGCTTATTTCACTGAGCATGTTCCCTTCCAACTCCATCCATGTTGCTGCAAATTGCATGAGTTTATTTTTTTTTTTGATTACTGAGTAATATTCCGTTGTATTTATGTACCACATCTTCTTGATCTAGTCATTTATTTTTGGGTAGTTGGGTTGTTTTTTGCAAATTCTCTTAGCTGTATTGTAAGAGATATAATCTAGGGCCTTCCTGGTGGCGCAAGGTGTTAAGTCTCAGCACTATGAAGCTATCGGCAGCCACTGCAACATGAGTTTGATCCCTGGCCAGGGAGCTGACCCACATGGCATAGCGGATCTCTCCTGTCTCACCTACTGCTGCCCTCAGCAGTGTATTTCAGTAGAACTGCCTGTTCTGCTCCCCACTCTGTTGTGGTGAATCCTCTCACCCCCCACCCCTCTGGCCTGTACCCCAACTCTTGTATGCATAAAATAAATCTTTTTAAAAAAGAGAGAGCTATAATGTAGATAAAATGTAAGATGTAATATAAGAGAAATTTGTGACTGTTCACACAGGCTATTCTCTATTCATTAAAAAAATCAAAGACTTTTAAGTAGTGAGTCCCTAGTACTAAACATTTCTGAGTGATTCAATAGCGTTTTTCAAAAAGTGAGTTTTTTCATTGTTCTAAGCTATTTGAGGAACCACACAATATTAAATATAATAACATCCTAAAATATATGTAGATGTGTCTGCCTACTGCCTATTATGCTTTGGGATAAGCATTGACATGCACTTCTGTTCATTTCAGAGACCACCTAAAGATGAAGGGGAAGGTGTGACCATTGAAGATCCTCACGTGTCTCAAGCAGTGAAGAGATGACGTTCCCAGTGGGGCATCTTTTATTTTAAACTTCATATGTATTAAATTATTTATTCTCCTGATGTGACCAAAATGCATTACCAATATTTGAACTTTGTAGTAACTTGAGTTTCTGAAGAACATTGAGCCCCTCATGGCTTAACTGCATTTGTGAATAAAAGCTCCATCTGTCATTGGATTTAACTTGGAAAAAAAAAAAAAAAGTAGATTTTAGGAAGCATTTTAAAGGCCCCTTAAATTTGTGAGAAATGAAAGAGATTTTGGTACCCTGAACATTCTTCTAAGAAAATTCAGGTCTCCATAGCCATATCCTCTGGTCTTCTACATGACACCTTAATTAAATGACTTTTAAGCTGAAATTTTGTGGATTTGTGGGAAAAGTCATCCAAGTTAAAAAAAATTTTTTTTGAAAGAATACGATGGCCAGAAAAACTTAATTCCTATAAAGTTTGATCTTTATTTTTTGGCTTGGCTATTTTTCGGAGAACTATTTATAATTAGGTTTAAATCTCTGAATTACTATTCAAGTTGAACTTTTAGCTAGGTAACAATGTACTTTTTCTTTTCTTAGATCATTTTGGCTTCTACTGAGAGATTTAATTAAATGGTAGAGGGGGAAATCATTCCTTTGACTTTGCTGTAAGTGAAACAAAGAGTTTATTTTATTATATAAAAATGTAGGATTAGCATGAAGAGACAAGTTTTAGGAAAAATACCAAAAAGTACCTTTTAAAAGATGGCATTGTTTAACCTCCATGTGACCTTCAGTGGTATAATTACAAAATGAGCTATGAAAGGGCTAACCCCTACTCAGTTGGGGCCTAAAAGTCTTACTAAATGTCATTTTTTTGCTTTTAGGATAGAAAAATAGTAAGGACTCAGAGTGCTATCTTTACATCGCTACTTTGATGTTTATTAAGACATTTTATAATGTGGAGGCTATAGACTGATTTCACTGAAAACAACTGGTAGTACCTGATCAACAAGTCATAAAGTATATTCAGAATAAAACTGCACAGCATCTGTACAGTGACACTTGGCTTGAACATTTTCCATAAGGAAAGTGAGGAAAGAGCTATAGCTGGCAACATTGGCATTCTCTTCAGGGTATTAAATCTGCTGCCTTTGGAATTTATTGAAACTTTTGATTTTATATCTGGTGCTAGTCAATATTTAGTCTTTACAGATTAACCAGTAATTTTGATCTAAATGCAGAAAATTATTAAATTATACTTTACAAGTCAAAGAATTTTGAGAGGCCCTCTTAGTGGACTAAAATTACGTTTAGATGGAGAAGTATTAATAAGGTTTCATTTCCATTTCTTAAATGAAACTTGTAGGATCTGGTTACAATTATGAATTCCATTGTATGTGGGAATATAAATATCTGAATTATTCCCAGAGGACTTGGTTTATATCCAAGGATGTTGGCAGTGGACACTTCAGTTTACCTCAGGAATTGCAATCATGCATGACTAGATTAATAAAAAATGCTGGAGTGTGACATTTTGGATACTGATAGAAAATCATCAAAATAGAAGCAAAACAAAATTGTCACATGTAGTCCATAGTGCTTTTGTATGCATTATTCTGTAACTTATTTGTACCTAGGCAATTTTTATACTTTCAGTGTATTATTTAATAAAAAAAATAAGCCACTCACCTTTGTTCCAAGGATGTTCATATGACTTTTCTGTCATCTAGAGAGGTATACACCAGAACCAGAAGAAGGATTGGAGATGACCCTCCAGGCCTTCTTTCGGGATCTCCAGCAACCTGGTGTTGGTGTAGTCAGGTGAGGTAGAACTTTTCCTGGTTATGCACTTCTAGCAACCATATCACCTGCACAGAGTGACCATGTGGGGGCTGGTCGGGCCATATGTGGTTAGAAAAAACATGCTTTTTTCCATTAGATTTACATTTTTATATCTGGAAAAGAGAACCACCTAATCACAAAGACTGCTATGGTTATCTACAAAGGAAGATCTTGGGTTGAGAAAATCTGCTCTAGAATTTTCTGTACTCAGGAGTTTTGAACAGTGTCAGGTTATCATCCAGTAGTTGAAAAAGGAACATGGGCTGAGACATTTAAACAACTCAAGGAAAGAAAAGACGTAAAAATACAGAGGAACCCCTTAAATTATGCTCATGAACAGGAAGTAAATTAGACCATCATTACTGGTGGATTTCATGGGGTCACTGGGAGAAGTAACTTTCCAGAAAGGAAAAGTTTTAGGAGAAAACTTGGATTTACACAGAAATAGAATGGAAATTAAAACTAGGGAGGGATTTAGAAAAGGTGGAAACTTAAAACTTGGACAATCTCGAAACCCCTTGCAGGAACAGAAGTGGCTTTTGAAGATGATGCTTTTAATCTTAGCATGTGTTTGCATAGAATAAACTAATAGCTTTATAATTATGTGCAAGAACACATTTGTATATGACTCACATGCCTACATGATTATGTAAAATTTGATGTGTTCTTTTAACCTAAAGCCAAGTGTACATAAAGGATTAACATTTGTGAGAATCTGCCTTTAAAGGCATTTAGGACAATGCGTTCCCAGCCACTGGGTATTTGACTTTCTAACAACCATATTGTAAGGATTATGTGGTCTTTATCTTTTTTTAAATTAAGGTGAGGTAAAAACGGTTTTTGGAGCAGTTTTACATTCACAGAGAAATGGAATGTAAGATTCAGTGAGTTTCCAGTAACTACTGCCCCTTTCCCAAGCTCCCTGTGATGGCATCCCCCAGCAGAGTGCTACCTTTTTTACAGTTAATGAACTTACACTGACATGTCATCATCATTTGGGGTCCATAGTTGGCGTTAAGGTTCACTCTTTGTCATGTACATTCTCTGGATTTGGACATTTAAGGACATATATCCACCATTGAATCATAAAGTTTAATTTTATAGCCCTAAATATCTTCCATGCTCTGCCTTTTCATCTCTCCCCACTCGTCTCAGACAACCAGATCCTCTTACTATCTCCATAATTTTGCCTTTTCCAGAATCTCATAGTTAGAATCATACTGATTGTGCCTACGTAGAACATTGGCTCCTTCCACTTAGTAATATGCATTTAAGGACCCTCCATGTCTTTTCATAGCTAAATAACTCATTTCTCTTTAGTGCTAGGTAATATTCCATCATCTGAATGTACCACATTTGATTTATCTATTCACTTACTGAGGCAATATTGGTTGCTTCCAAGTTTTGGCACTTATAAATAAAGCAGCCATACAGATCTGTGTGTGAAGTTAGAATGGATGTAAGTTCTCTGCTTATTTGGGTAAATCCCAAGAAGCCTGATTTGCTGGATTATGTGGTAAGACTGTTCAGTTTTGTAAGAAACAAACTACTTTTATTGAGAATTTTAGAGCAGGTTCTGATAGAAGTGAGAAGAATATGGAGTTACGGAAATGGTGATGAGGATAGAGCTCTTGCAGGTTACTACACAATGCAGGCTGCACTTGGAGAAGCCGGGGGGACGTCCTGAGTGAAACAAGTGCTTTTGTGGAAGAGAATGGCTAGCGCCGCGACTGAGGTCAGAAACAGCACACCTTTCTTCACAGGGAGAGAACCCTGTGCTGATCTGGGGCTAGGTGTGACGTGAGTGCATGCACGTTTCAATAATGAAATTAGGAAGCACATGTGTAGACCCAATCTTCAATGTTAAAAACTGAATATTAAAAACTGATATTAAAAAGCAGTTTGGAGATTTTTGAATTCAATTGCTTCAAATAAGAAACTATTTGCTTTAAAAAAAAAAAAAAAAAAAGATTCCAAGAAGAGAAATGTCTCCCAGCCATCTTGTTTCATGAGTTCATGGAAACTCCCATTACAAGCTCCCACATATGCCAAGGAAACTGACTTGACAGCTCTCAGTCAAAGAAACATTTTTAAAGTAACTTTTCCCCCTCAATCTTAAAATAACTGGCTCTTTGAGTCAGGAGACATAAAACAGAGACATCTGATTTAATTTTTATAATAGTGACCTTTCAAGAGTCAAACATCTGGCCTGTGCAGTGGACATGTGTGATGAAGCACTGACACGCCTGTGCTGTTCCAGAGGCCTTCAGAAGAGCATACCAGAAACAAGCTACAGATCTTCACATCTCGTAGTTAGCAACTCAGAAGGTAGCTACGGTATCTTCTGGCCATCTGCGTTTCCTGAGAAAACAGAGGCTCAGAGACAAGGACTGACAATCCTGAAGCTGCCTGTGGGTGCCCACAGGTCTGAGGTCATGGTTCTCATCCGCTTCCATGGGCGCTGTCAGACCGGAGGGGAAGGACAGAGGTTGGAATTTCTGCTCCATCAGGAACTGTATTTTCTTGGATTAACTCATCAAATCTGGTTTCTCAACAGCAAAATGAGAGGGGAAAAAAGTACCTACTTCCAAGGGTAGCTCTAAGGGTGAGGTGAGACTGCAGTAAAAATCAGTGTTTGTTCTAAAGCTTTCATTTATGAATAATTTCTTATGATTCCCTTAAAAGTTACTGAGATGGGGCCTCCCCGGTGGCGCAGCGGTTGAGCGCTGGGTTGCGAAGCTGCCCGCAGCCTCTGCGGCGCCGGTTCGATCCCCGGCTGCTCCCCGGCCACCGGAGGAGGGTCCCACATGGCGCGCAGACCTCTCCTGCCGCCTGCTGCTCCCCTCAGCAGTGTACTTCGGTCCTTCTGCCTGCTCTGCTCCCCGCTCTGGCTCTGGTGAATTCTCTCACCCTCCCGCGCTTCTGACTGTACCCAGTGCATGTACAAACAAAACAAACAAATAAAAACATGCCTCTATAAAAAAAAAAAGAAGTTACTGAGATGTTCTTGAAAGCATCCAATGCAATTCCTTTGCAAGTGCCAATGTTAATGCCTCGGCTGAAAATGCCAGTTGTTTCTTGGAGGCCAGCGAGGTAGCATCTGACAGCCTGCTCTGGATTCTTTCTAGGATGGGAAGGTGACGATCCACTTCGGTTTCCCCTTCATCGCTGTTCTCTGCTTTCTATCACTGCTGTACAATTTCCACTCCTTTTACAGTGCAGACATTGGAAGGCACGTGGGGAAGTAGCCCATCCATCATTTCCAGCACAACTTCCCCCCCTAACTTCTCCAGCCAGGTGGACACTGACTGGTCTTGATTGATTTAGGCTCCGTGAGGGGCAGGGAGCATGGGCTGTTTTCAGGGGTGAACACCAGGTGAAGGTGATGCTGGAGGAAGGGAACAAGAGGGGCCTGCAGAGGGGCCTGGGAGCCTGTAGGAAAACCCTGGGCAGGACAGGCTCTCATCACCACATCCCCCAGGCCTGACCTCTACTTCCGAGTAACAGCTGCCAACACCAAGCTGTGGGGTAAGTGGATCATCTCAGGGTGTGTCTACAAACAGCCAGGAAGGAACTAATGTCCTTCCCATTTCGCAGGTAGCTAAACTGAGGCAGAGAGCAGTTAAGTCACTTGCTGGTGGTCAGACAGCAAGACAGGGGCACCAGCACGTTCCAACCCAGTCATGGAACCTCAGAGACTGGACCTCAGCCCCAAGGTCAGTTCTGGGCATTTCCCTCAAAGTCGCTCTAGATTGAATTGAGCCACGGCAATTGTGGGCTCCAGCCCCAGAGAGAGGGAGGGCAAATCTCTACGCTCCTCCCGTGCCTCAGTTTTCTTATCCGCAAAATGGGGTATTAACGAGGACCCCAGCACTTCCTGACCTGCTTGCCAGGGAGGGTTTGCTGAAGACGGGCCTGGCGCCCAGCACAGGGTCTTCGCACTCCAACCCTCCTGCGGCTGGAAGTAGCGGGGATCCACGTGGGGCTGGGGGCTGCCCCCTCGCGCTGTCCCAGCAGAGGGCTCGGGTTCCCAGCGCCGGGCGCCGCGAGCAGAGCAGCCCGCGGGGTGCCTGGCCCCCGCCCCGTGCGCGCTGCGCCGGGAGGCCGCTCGGCTCCATATTTAGGCAGCGGGCGCGGGCAGCCCCGGGCTGGTATGCGGCGCTGGGAATTCCTGCAGGAAGGAGCCCGCGCCTGCCCTTTTTGGGTTGTCTCCCGCTGGGCGCCCCCAGCCCGGCCCGCGCCCGCCACGCCCGGGAGGGAGGCAGCGCCCCGCCCGGGACCTCCGAGCCGGTGCGGGGCGGGCGGCTGGGCGCCCCGGCGGCCCGCGGGTCCCCGCCTGGAGCGCCGCCAGCCCGCGCCTCGGCTTCCTTTTATGGCCCGCGCCGGGGGCCGGGGGAGGAAGGTGGAAATCCAGAGAGCTCTGGAGCCAGAGACACAGAGACCAGAGACACTCGGAGAGACAGCGAGAGACACAGAGACAGGGAAGAGGGAACACGGGGGAGACGAGCAAGAGGCGGGCGCAGACACCCCGAGACAGGCTGTGGGACACGGACACGGGGGGCGCAGTAGCGATGGAGGGACAGTGTCAGGCGAGGCAGGCCGAGGGGGAGAGGAGTGGGTTTTTAGGCTTTCTATAATTCAAGAATTTCCGGGGGGAGCAATGGAAGGGAACCCACAGGTGCGGCTCCTGACAGCACCTTCCAAACCCTGTAACCCTCGTCTCGCTCGCGCCCTCGCCCCAGCCGCGCGCGCCGAGGTCTGAGCGGGGAAAAGACCCGCCCGAGGCCGCGCAGCCGGCGGCCCCCACCCCGGTGCCAGAAGTCACAGCAGCGGGGCTTTCAGGCCTGGGGGTGCAGGTGGGGAGCGCGAGCCGGGAAAAGTAAAAACTTCCCCTCCCGGCACAATTCCCAACAGCCCGGACTCCTGCCTTGCACTTTGTAAAGTTCGGAAAATCCCCTCTCCCCGCCCGTGGCGCAGGCAACGGCAGCGAATGCAGCGGGCACGGGGCGGGGAGGTGCCCACCTCGACCCGCCGGGGGAGGAGCAGGGTAAAGCCGGGAGGCTGGACCCGCCTGGGGCAGACATTCTCAAGCATCCCCAGTAAGCGCTGGGCTCGACCCCCTTCTCCAGGAACCCGGAGTCTCGGTGACCGCCGGTGGCCGGAGCTGGGACCCGTCCCAAGGCCCTCGCAGGCCCTCCCTGGACGCTGCGCCCCGCCCGGCGCGCCCCTCGCGCCAGCTCCGCGGCAGGTGCGCGCGGGCGCCGGGCCCAGAGCCGCCTCTCGGGCCCTGCAGGGGGCGCTGCGGGGGGCGCGGCGCCGGGCCCTCCCCCGTCCGCCCCCCAGGGCCGCCTCCGGGCTCCCACCCGCTGACCGCCCCAGGTCTATAAAGAGAGGCGTCGGAGGCAGCGGGGAGATTTGGACGCCCCTGCCTGGGAGGTGTGCCAGATCTGAGCTCTCCATCCACTTGCTTCTCCGCTAGCCCCCCAGTTGGAGATCTGTAAGTAGACGGGTCCCGCGGGAGGGGTCTTTCGGAGGGAGGATTTAGGGATCCTCCAGGGCAGCCTACAGCACCCGGGGAGCTGGGAAGTATTACCATTGTCTTCCTCTCGAGAACCAGGGTGAGGGGGGCCGCAGGGCTCGCAGTCCTTGCTGTCTTCCCCATCATTCTAGATTTCCCCCCAAACCAGCATCTCCCAAGGTTGCCAATGATAAGTATTACTTTGAGAGTAGTTGCTAAAGAGCAATCGCAGGGCCTAGCTCCACTTAACAGTGGACTCCAGAAAAGCTGTACCTTCAACATTCGGAATCCCAGCTGATTCTTGTTAAGAGGCGACTCTGGGAGACGCGCCCCCTTAGACATCTGGGGGGACCAGCTCCGTGGGTTTTTCCCTTTTATGCCAGGCACAAATAGTGCAGCAGAACTTCACTAAAGGGGCCTTTCCTATCGCTGAAGCCAGCAAAGTGGACTTGACAGCATCGCTGAGTTGTTGATAATGTTGGTTCAATCAGTTAAAACACCTGGGCGCCACAGACAGGAGTGTTTCCCGTTAGTCTAGAGCCATGGTTTATAATCCGGAGAATGGTTATTTATTACAACCTAATGCCCCCTCCAAATTAAAAAACAAAACAAAAAACCTCCAAGGGCCCTCTGCCAGGCAGGTGCCAACCCCACCTTTGCAACCTCGAGCTGCAGGTGCGTTCACCAGCACTGGGTTGACCAGGCTTCCGGAGCCAGCCCGAATGGCAACCCATTGCAAACGTGGCTACTGTCTGTTGTTAAGTTTCTCCCGGCACAGAGAGCCGGTGGGGATCTTGCTGTTTGAGGAGAGGCACTATTCAAAGCCTTACTGAACATAAAGTAAAAGAAAATATTTAGACACCCGAGACAGAGTGTTTAGTTACAGTACTAAGAACTAGCAGATTAAATTGAAAACTGGCCAGGGTCTGCAAAAGGCAGGCTGACAGTAAACTGCTTACATAGTTTGGTTTGGTGCAGTTTTGATTTGTTTGGACTCCTGAAAGCTACCATTTTAGAATGATTTACAGAGCAGGAGCTTGAAGATGCTCAACTCGAAGCCATTACCTGGCAGTGTGTAAAATAGGGTATTGAATATCCATGGAATCTTTGGTGCTTTCCCGTTGCTTCTCTTTTAATCACTGTAACAGCCTTTTAAGCAAGACAGTGTGATGTCTGTTTAGCATAGAAAGCAGCTGAGGTTCAGAGAGGTTAAGTAACTTGCCGAGTGCTACACAGCCAGCAGGGGTCTGGCTGAGGCTCTGTCTCTCCCCTTGACCCCACCATCAAGGGGAAACTCTCTGGGGCAGGCTGGTTTCTGGTGGGACCAAAAGCGTCCAGCAACGCAAGTGTTTATCATCTTTTCTTTGAAGAA